AGGAGAGGAGAGGAGAGGAGAGGAGAGTTCCATTTGGAAGGGACCTACAACAATTGTCTAGTCCAACTGCCTGATGAAGCATCTATTTTCTGTGCTATCAGATTATTTAGAAGCAAAACAAAGCAAATTGCAAAAAGTTATATCCAGAAACATAATTTTAATCTATTTTTGCTGTCTTGATACAATGATTTGAGTGCAAATTAAAAACAAAATTCTGAAGCCAAGTAAATTGCTATTCATCAGCTGATCCTCAGTAGTGGAACAAAAGTTGCAACATGCAATGTGTTAGCTTTACCCACCAAGGAGGGTCCAGTTTATAGACAGTGACTTGCTACATCACTGTAATTTAGGCACCTGGATTGCATCTCCACACATTACAAGGTGCCCTGAAGTTCTAAGATACCCTTATTTTTAGTGCCTGTTTTCTTTTTTCAGCTCAAATTACCTGAACTAATCTGATTGTTCTGTTAAAATTGAGAGTGATGGCTTCATAGCATGAAAATAAGCGTATTTGTTTCATGCCCTGGGATGTGACATGAGGATATGCGGTATATCCGAGGTGCAAAAGCTGCTCAAACAGCACTGCAAGACTGTAAGCTAGAGGAAGCCAAATCTGATGCACTCATCCACACTGCCTATTGGAGATGGCCTGTGCTATGCGCTCTTGTATTGCCTTAGAAAGTGCGCCTTAGAAAGCTGACATGGGCCAAGATTGTGCTTGGAAGCACGTGGATGGTTAAGCAGTAGAGGTGGACACTGGTTCAGTGCTAGGTTTACTGTGGTTCTGTTTTATTTAGCAGTAAAGATGCAATCACAGAGATTACAACACAAGCCCTGAAAAGAAACCATAGGAGATGCGTTGCATGCTGGTCTTGTCAGTGCCTCTTCATCGGTGAGCAACAGCATGGCAGGACTGCAGTTCAAAGGTTCAATGCAGTTCAATGCCTAACCATTCTAGAACTATCCTTAGTCTTGTGCCTTGTTCCATGGCAACTTGTTTGTCCAGTCCAGTCCCAAACTACCCAGCTTGTGGTCCCCTGTGTTTACCACCTTCTCCATCCCTCCCTTTTTTTTTGGACAGCAGGGGTGATGCTATTTCCCCTCCACCAGAGAGAACTGGAGAAACTAAGCACAGGCTGTGCTTTGAACTACACTTGAAATCATAGCTCTAGTTATTCCTGAGGAAGAGGTTTCTAAACACAGAATTAAACATGAGCAAAACAGGACACTGCATGGAAAAGTAACCATAAAAATAAAAAAAATTGTTGCATTAACAATTAAATACAGAATTTCTCTGTAAGGCCATAAAGCTGCACCCATACATGGGATGCTTGAAAGGTACCAAAGATATAAAATATACAACATTCAGACTTAGCTGCAGAAAGAAGAGTTCTCAACATTTTCCTTCTGAAATACTTAATCACTGTGAGTTGATACTAACATTGCATCAGCTGTTACTGTCACTTAAACTCGTGAGAAAGGCAGTCGGTATCCTTCTGGTTCTCCTGTAATTGCAGCGCTCTGGCCAACCTGTATCTCCCATTGTAGGCACTGTAACATTTCCCTTTTATGTGATGTATTGATTCAACTCAGGAACCGATCAGTTTAAGCTTCACTATAATTTTTGTTTCTGGAAAATGTGCTTTTGCATGTTTAGGGATGACGTGTGTAAAGGACTGCCCTTTGTTGTTCTATTAATGGAACATTTCTAAAGTAATAGTAAAAAAATCAATTACCGCTGTTACCTGCAGCTCCCTCGTTTCCTCCTCAGCAGCAGAAGCATGGTATGAGAGAACCTACAGAAAGAGAAAAGCAGCCCTTATAGTACAAACAAAAGAGCAATGTGATAAAAAGGTATTTTTCCTAAAGCAGAATTTTCAGCTTGCAGCTGCACTGCATTGCGTTGCACTGCATTTGCTGATGAAATCTAGCATCCATGCAGGGCCCGCACTGGTTTTAAGGAAGCTCTCTGAAAGTATATGGGGACATATCTGCAGCTTTCACAAATCTCCCACAGCACAGAATCTTCTCGAAATAATTAGGCCAAGAAAAAGTAAATAGTTTCCATAAAAGAGCAACGAACTCTGATTTTCTCTTTGGAAAGTTTTTATGCCCCACTTTCAAAGACATGAAACAGCTATAATTATGAGGCTGACATTGTTGCCATAATAATCCTTTCAGGAGTTCATTCAGACGTAAAAGAAAGTTTTGCCCTGACTGAAACTTGACCAAAAAAGTCTGAAAGACAGTATGTTTGTTTTAAATTAACAAAATAAGCTTGTATTTTTTAGCTGTTGAGAACACAGGACATGAAAATGTTATGGAGGTTTTTTAGCAACTAGAGATAGACTTTTTTTGTAAAGAAGCTGTCAAATACTAACCTATATTCTGTCTGGACTTCCTATATTATCTATGAAGTGTTATGGTAGGAGAGAGAATTGCTCATTTGCCCCATATAAACAAACAGGCGTTTTTTTTTTTTCAAAGCACTGAAATTATTTTGACAATAATTTTACCACCTTTTTATTTAACATGACTTAATACAGGTTTACTTGAGAGTTGTAACGTTTCTTTTAGAGGCTATGGGGTACATAATCCCCATTTCAGGAATTCTGCAAACACTCTGTTTACATAATGGCTGTTAGGAGATCCAAAGTCTACAGATTTTTCACTTTCAGCTTCAAGTTATCACCTCTGAGTAATTCAGCTTCTCAGACTAAAGCCCTCCTTAGCTATTAAACTTAACAGTAACCAATTCAAAGGCCGAGACCAGATGATGTTCATCTTGATATGGTTTGATGGAATCTGAGGAAATTGCTGAAAACCTACAATAATGCTGCTGTTACTCCAGAAACCGGTTTGTCTAAAGTACTGAGCCAAAATCATCACAGAAAACCTCAGACAAGAAAAGGAAGCCCCTAATCCCCCAAACCATTTCCTCTTCCTACGCAACAGAACAAACCCACTGTGTTGCCAGTGTGTAGCCTCATGTAGAGGAAAAGATGCATTCAGCTCACCACTAAATCTCCTGAGTAAAGTTAAAGTACAATACCAAATAAAATAGTCCTCTGCCACATATGGAAACAAGCAGAAAAATTCCTGTGCAACTCAACAGGCCAAATGCTGTTCTCCTGGGGAGAACAATTTCTGTTCAGTGTCCATGTGAGTAGCTGCACTTATGTGTAGAACAGACAGGATCTGGAGAAAATCTGGATCTGTTTTGGGCTAATTATGGACCACCTAGATTTTGAGCTCACCTCTAATGTCACCATCTGTTTGGCCATGGCTCTTTCTACAGCTTCGTACATCTGTGTATTCTGGATACCCAAGCCACAAAAGATGACAAATGCTTCCAGGAACTGTTCATCATTTCTGTTGAAAGCCTTGATTTTGCCTGAGTTTTCTTCCATCTTATTCACAAGTTGGCAAACCCCTATGCCAGGATATAGAAATTAAAAGGAAGTAATACAGAGAACTGCCAACACATCACCTATTATATGGAACATCAAAGAAAAATTAAGTCTAGGACAGTTTAGCCTACAGTATAAACCACCAATATACATAAAAGTGTCACACAGGAGTGCTGTAGGATTTTCCCCAAAGTTTTTCAGAGTAATTCCACTGTATTATAGACTAAATGCTAAAACGTTATATATTACTTAGTAGGCTCAGATGCATTTATTAGAATTTGTGAAACAAAAATGTAGGGCTTTACAGACTTGATTATCTTGTGAAATTCCAGGGTCGTTTTCATCCTAACTTTTATTATTAATAGTATTCTAGATTGATTTAGTCCCTAAAGACAATTTGTCCTTTGGAGGCTAATTAAATTTTTGTAACAATGCCAAAAGAACATTTATGAAAGTCAGAACAGTGGTACACAGAGATTTCACTTCCTTATTTGAGTCAGTACAGGAAATTTTTTAAAATAAATGAACTAAATGGAGAATACCCCAGTTGAGGCTCAAAGCCTAAGTATACTCACTGATTCTATGAGGATGAGATTGAATTACAGCCTGCTCCAAAGACCACCGATCTCATTGAAAAGCATCTTACTGAATTCAGCTTGTTAGGTTCAAACATGTTGATCAGTTGCATCTGTTTATTTTCTGATAAGAATTTCTGGACTTTTCTGTGCAAATGCCATTGAAAGGTCTGACAGGTAACTTCTACCAAACCTTGCTGCAGCTTAAATCCCTGACACCATTTTAAGCAGAGGGAAATTCACACATATACCTCACTTTAGTTTTACCTAGCGGATGGCAGTTTCTGCTAAGACATCAGAATATTAATTAAAGCAGCTGCACTATACGTATACGGTGTCTTTGGCCAAAACTGCTTTGGGGGTGATTATTGTCTTAAGTCAGTCCAAATGTTTTCTCACTCTCGTAAGTGTGAGTACTAAGAGTTTCGAGCATAAAAGCTAGCGTTTTCCAGGCCAACTGAAAATACCCCAGAGAGAGTAATAGCTGCAAATTAGAAATTCTGAAAAAAATTACTAAATGAAAAAGTCTTCATTTTCTATAAATTGCTATTGCATATCAGTTTGTATACTTTATGTATTTTATGAAGAACATTTTGCATCAGAAAGAGTAAAATATTAAAAATATATTTAACCAGCAAAAGAGAAGATAACTATTTAGCATGGTGTTTCCAGAACACTTTAAAAAATGTACAGGTTTTCTTGCATCAGTAGAGCTACTACTAATTTACAGAGGATATATGAACAGAATCTGAATGCCTTGCAGTTCGCCACTGTAAGGTCAGGGAGGCTGGATTTGCCCTCTGGTTATGGGTAGGGAAGAAATTATAATGAATATTATTTTACAGCAGTACCAACAGTGAACATAGTCAACAGCTACTGTAAGGTCTTGTCAGTGCTAATAATTTTTTATATGAAAGTATTTCCAGCATTTTAGTACTCTATGTTTACAGACTAAAAAAGCTCGTTGAGATTTTTAATTAAAGGAAAAAAAGTCTTTAAGGGAGCAAGTGTGCATCTGCCCTGTTACAGTAAGTAGAAAAACCAAGGAAAAGAATGTAGCACACACATGCAAACTGCGTTTTTAGAAGAACACTGTCCTTGCATGTATGAGTTTTAATGTCTGGTGACAGTGTAACATTGTCCTGTTTCCAAATTACATTCTGTTTTGGGAACTTATTTTAGTATCTGTCTCCTCGAAAGAGATCAGTAAGAATATTATAAACTGTTGTGGCAGGGGTTGTGGTATCTGAATATTGCAAACAGGATTCTGAACCTTAATGGAATGAGATGACCAGATACTTGAATGATAGTAAAAATACATAATCCCACCAAATAAGGATTCACTAAGAACAAAATTAACTTTCCCTGGGGAAAAAGAAGCTGCCTTATAAAACGCTATAGGAAAATCTCATGAAACTCACTTTCAGATCTCTGTTTGGTACTGATTATGACATTATAATTACTTCCATAGCAACTGTGATGTAATGAACACAAGATTAAGACTCAACAGTAAATAAGCCAAAAAAGCAAATGAATTCTTAAAAAACACAGCATTTGGATGCACGTAAATGTCTTAAAAAGTGAGAGAACTGCAGGAATATACTATGCAGTACTTAAGACTCTGGAACTGTAACTTTTTTCAAAAGCTTCCCCAAAGCATTGAGGGGGTCCATACATTACAATGAAAGGAACTCAACAGTCTTTATTGGGACGTAGTTATAAAATCACAGAAAGCTTCTGGAAAGCTTTCACCACATACCTGAAAAATGCACAAGTCAGGAGAATAAAAAAGTTCTTTTCATCTTTCTTACCAGTAAGACTTGCTTGGTTTTGCTGTGGACAGTTTTTCCCACACCAAGCCCATCTGCATACCCCACTTCCCAAATTCTGGTTTTGAGTATACTAATACTAAAAATAAAAAAGTAGACTTAGAATAATAGTCTTATATAGTTTATAGTATGCTAAAAGAACTTCTGTGTATTGTCCCAAAGACAATTTCTTGACCTTGCCCTATTAAAGATCTGAACATTAGGTAGGCTGTGAAACCTTAAAAGACTTCAAAGAGCATTTCCCAATGAGAATTACTCAGATTTGAAAAAAACACCTAAATGGGTGGCCTGACTGAAACTTTCAGTTTGAACTTCCACAGAAAATAACAATAGAAAAAAACTACATGAGATCAGGTGCAACTGTTTTATCAGTAGCTAACAGCATAGTGAAATATCTCTAATTAAAGCTCAACAGTTCAATCTTCATCCTAAGTCTTCTAGGGTCTGGTAGAATATTTAAAACAAAGTAATAAAAGAATTCATTAAAGAAGCTGATATCAAAAGAAATTTCAGAGAACTCCATTAGGTAAAGGTGATGCTTCTCTTTCTGCTTCAGGAGTTAAAAAGATTTGTCTTCATGGAAAAGGGAACTCGTATTTACTATATACATTGGGTTATGCAGTTTTGCCTTAATTTTCAAGGAAAATTATTTGAAGACCATTAAAAAATGCATTCTTGGAACTCTTAACATTTACTTGCCAAATTTTGTAAAGCTGAGGAAGATAGATTCATGCTGCTATCTAGGAATCAGTATAGTTTATGTTCTGTTTGCTTGTGGAACTTACTGATGCCAAGAAAGCAGGCTGACACTTATTCTACTCTTTATGGAACAGGGAAGTCCCGGTAATTTCCAAAAGCATCATCATCCCTTTGTTTAAGGTGAATCTGAAACTCACTGAAAGACTTAAAGCTCATTAAGCTTATTACCTGACCAGATCCTCAAAACTATTTAGGTGTACACTCATCTTTGAGGACCCAGACCACGGCTACCTAAACATTTTTAGGGAGCTAGAGATAACTAGGCTTCTAAGTTTCCATAAGCATCTACGCCTATGTGGACCTAAGTGATGTCAAATTACTTCTGAAAATGTTACCCCAGGAAACCAGTGGTATTATGGCCATTCTTTAAAATAGAAGAAAAGTAGTTCTAGAAAAAGCAAAGGAGATGCTGCAGAGATATTTACACTGGATAGCTTTAGACACTTAAACTAGTGTCTTACAGTAGGACTATAGGCTCCCTGTGTAATCCACAGAAAGAAGCAGGCACCTCCAAAGGGCAATTTGAAACACCAAAACTGTACCATAGCTAGCCTTCTAATGTATGCACCTTTCTGTAGCCAAGTCTCATTTGAAGAAACTGTCCATGTCTGTGCAGTTCAGCTTGCCGTTCAACATGCCACCACTGTTCCCTAAAAGCCCAGCATTACAGACAGCTCAGGCCTGAAGAGCTTAGTTACTGATTTACATCTTCTCTTCCTTTCACGGTCTTGTAAAATATCTACACAGGCAAGAGTGGTAACCGACTCTGAACAGGAAGCAATGAAAATAATTTCACTTACAGAAAATTTTCAAATGCAGAGAAGCTATAAAAATGGCAAAGTATCACAAGAGTGTTGTAGATACTTGGTAACTTACTAGGTAAGCAATTTACACTCAGGGTTGCAGTGGACTTTTTAGTTGAAAACATGATAATTAAGGATCTTTTCTCCTGGGTTGAGATTCCATGTTGCTGAGATTATACTGTGGAACACAGAAATACTTCTATGAAATGTATGAAAATTTTTTTTTTAAAGATACCTACCTATCACTTTATTCTTTTTCCCATTTTTTATTGGTGTACACAGCAAACTCTTTATGTGTTGACTTACATTTTCTGCATTGTCATTCTGTTAAACAAACAAAAAAATACAGTTACAATTTTAAAGACTAATGTTAAAGTGGCTGAAGTGAAAAAGCTGTAGAGCTGGGGTCTACAGCTATTCTTGGCTTACATACTCCTTCAGAAAGCAACCATGTCTTCAAAGAGTTTGCACACCTTTGGCTGGACAGTATAATAATCTGATACAAGCGTTGGTGAATAATAATACAGGTAATGATGATCATCTTCATTCAGTGGGAGTTTACAGCGACTTGTGCAGTTGTGCTAAAAATGTGCTAATTTTATAATGGGTCCTTTTGATTAGAAGGTACCACTTCCATGAAAATGACAACTTTGCGTCAAGTCAAAGTGTTCCACTCAGTGCAGCTGAAAAGAGATCAGATGGGCTTTAGGACACCTTTTTACTCTCATCAGGTGATGAGCTGTAAAAGTAACTGACCTTTCCCCTTTCCAGCGTATCCCCTCACATGGCAACGTAAGGAACAGATGCCATAAAACAAGAGTAACTAGCTGACATTCAGCTAACTATGCACTTTGTGGCACTAAAATTTTCGTAAATTCTTTTGGTTTCTTTAAGATGCCTTGATTAATCCACCAATGCAATGAAAAGGAGCTTAGTGGAGACCAAATTATGATCCAGAGAACAACAGGTAGGAAAACTACCACCAACTAGGTCAACATTCTGTAGCCTTCCAAAGACCTTTTATCATGTTTCGTGCTCCAACAGAAGGAAACTGAATTTATTTGGAGGGTGGAAGAGTGGAACAAAAGGACAATGCATCTTTTTCAAATACCTGCTGAGAAAAGGACGTAGTTCTGCTCTGACTGCTCCTGGAATAACGTGGCAGTTGCTGAGAAGTACGTTTGGTCCAATCTCTAATTGTATGTGACACAAAAAAATGGGTACACACTAATATTTCAGATCAAAAGGTTATTTTTGTGGTTTTTTTACTATTGTTGCTCTGCTCTCTGGTGCTGTGCAAGGATTGTAGACAGTTTCTTTGCAGGCAAATGCACAAACACTGTAATGCTTACAAGTGGCAATAGGAAATGTGATTCTTTAAAGAAAACATTAAAGGATTACATCATGCCAAATACTTTACATGACTCCAGGAACTTAAGTACTACTACCTAATAGTAGCCCATTATCCAGAGAGTATATGGAATAACTCAAGAGTAGGATTTGCTGTTTTCTGAACTGTGACATACCTGTAAAATCAGCTGTAAAAAAGGACATAAGAATAAGCATCTCTTCCTAGATCTCTCCAGCAAGGACAGCTGAGAAACACAAAGTCAAGCTGGCAGGAAAATTGGTTTATGGCTACCCTGAGAAGAACCTGCTATTCAGGTGCATTGAAAGTCAAACTGGACTGAATTGGAGATAAGACAACAGTGCATAGTGCTTAATAAAAATGCCTGACCCAGTATTAATGAATAGGAAGGAGATTAAGCAAAAATGGACTTAAATGCCCTTAAGGAGAACTTTCTCTCCACTGCACTAACTTTGTTGGTTCAGGGAAGAACGCGTACACATGACTGCTGAGGCTTAGCATTTGGCTTCCATACTGTCCTTGTAAGTGGCTGGAATGTGAGCCAGGCAACATCACAGCTCTTCCACAGATAAACCCAAGCTGTTGTTCTGCCTCATGTCACTACCTAGGTAGTTGAGGCCACCAAAGCATTTAGAAAGCACAAAATTATTTTCATAAGGTGAGGAAGCATGCTGTTGAATGTCCACCAAAGAAAGCAGCAAGCCAGGGTTTCTAGGGCACTAGATACACCTGAGATTTCCCACAGATGCCAGGGTTCATCAGATTTCAAAACATTTAGCCTACAGCCTTGCCTTGAGACTGCTCCTACACAGTGGTGGAGATGCAGCAGTGTTGAAAAATATTATCCAAAATTCCATCTAGCAGTACTACTGTTTTGTTTTTATGAGTTTCTTTTACATGCATAAGGTGTAAGTCATCTAGATTCCAGGAAAAAATGCAAAAGAAATCTAATGCTACTGACAAAGTGAAAGGCCTGATTCAGACAAACATTTGTTTGCATGACTCTCAAGGTATTAATTTGATTTTAAAATGTCTTCAAAACAATCATCTCTTTCTTTATTGATCTAATACAGTATATCCATCCGATTCTGTTTTTACTTCCATTCCTGCAGTTAAAATAGCTCTGGGCTCTGTAGTGCAAAGTGGTTAGCACTCAATTCCTGTGTTCCTCAATCCTTCATAGAAACCTACTCCAGAACATCCATGAAGCCTTGCACAGAGAAAAAGGGAAGCAACACAGCTCCACACCATGAGCCTGACCCTTCTTTCCACTTAGTGGAACAATCACATTGAACACTGTATTTTCTGACCTTTTCATTGTGCGTCTCAGAACAAAGAGTTTGGTAAAAAGCTATCTGCAGATCATAACTCCTCTCCCTCTTACCACCCTCTCCCTGAGCCCCTCTAGCCAACAGGCTTAAATATAAGAAGAAGAGCAGACACCTTTCTAATTTCTGCATTGACAGGAAAATACAGAATTACAAGTTTGCTTTTTGTTAATGATGACTTTGAAGGCAACGTGACTGTAAACCTGGGTCTTGCCAAATGACCTTCTCTCCTAACTCTCCAGCATCTGTGTGTTCAGTAGTACACCATACCACAAGCTCACACTTGAAGTGTGAAGCAAAAGCTCCTGAAGAAAAGTGAAGTTGTTCCTTCTCCAAAACAGCAAAGAACTTGCATCTATAACATTAATCTTTGCCAGACCAAGAAAGGAAAGGAGAGGATAAAAGGGAAAGAACTTCTGAGAGCCTCCCAACACTCACAGTAAACCACCGAGGATTACTGGGAAAACCTCCAGCTGTTCTTCACTTAAATGTCTTCCACGGAACATACTGCAAGCTCTCAATATCACACTGTCTATTTATTGACAACTTTAGTGTTAGGCTTTTCTAATAATGGCTGTAGGGATAAATTCCTCCCCTGGCCACCGACTCATTTGTGTGAGGATTGTACCATTTCTTCACTGATAATGAATTTTATCAAGCAAATGTACCTTCCTTTGTGGTTGTGCAATTCTGACTGTGGCCATTAAATTAACAGAAATAATAAGAGGAAAACAAAAAAGGTTTGAAAGGTAAACAGAAAAACATTTTCCATTTCTGAATGTCACATCTAAGCTTATTTTACTTACTGTCCAGGGAAATCTTCTGTCTTTGCAGACATCTGGGATGTTGAGAGGCGCCATCGTATTCTTGACATACTGAGCATACATATAATTGATTTTGTTTGTATCATAGTCCCTGAAGGATACAATATTATTATTATTATTCTGTGCTAAGTATGAAAATGGGTCATTTCATTATGCAAGGCAGGTAATTGTAGTATCTTTCCTGTATGAGGAAAGGATGTAACCAATAGCTATATAATGGAGTTGAGTTCAAATCCTTTATCCTACTCCAGCTGTCATCACAAAACCACAGAGTGGATTGAGTTATACATGCCACAATTTCTTTAGTATTCAACAACGTTAACACTGAACACCAAACTTAAGAAATAAACAAATCAGTACAGTTTATGCAGATGAAGGATAAAGAATGAACAACTGGGTTTATACTGAAATAAACAGGACTTTTTTAAAACAAACTCCATTCACAAATCTGACACTTGAAAAATCAATACTGGATGAAATTCACATATTCTTTAAACTGAGTACAGCAGATAAGTAATATTTGTGAATTTTCTGCTTCTAAGTTCATCTCAAATTTGTTCTAAAAGTAAAGGCACAATCAGTTGCATGGAGATTCTGTTACTGAAATAGAACTGTTTATTCCAAATCAGGACATAAAATATCTTTACAGAATCAATCGTCTCCTACTTTTTTAGCCATGATGTATTTAATTAAGGCATTTCAACTCTCTTGGACCCTTTGCCTGCTTTGGAGGAGGACGCATGTCCTTAATAATAAAACTATTGCCATCAAGCTCCTGTAGTTTCCCTCTGACAGTTGACTTGACTTTAGTTATCCTTCTGGTGTAAGGATGTTCACAGTGCTGGAGGAAGGGAATTGCTCTTTCGTTATTTCACAAATTTGATTATACAAGGAAATGCCCCACAATTCTGAGAACCAGTCTGATTTGGGGTTTGATTCAGGTCCTTGATTACATAAGAAGCCTGAAATATTACTATGTAAGGTAATACTTCCTATCTAATCCATGTCATTATATTTTTGCTATTGCCCAAAATTGTGCCCTTCAAGCATAGCAGTTCTAACTCCAATGGCTGACTCATAGTACAGTCCTTGGCATATAATTGTGCTGTCTCATGAACAAGATACAGATAAGCAATTAAGCCTCCAAGATTCCTTCCCTATCAGTTATGAGAAATAATTTACTGATGGCCCATACAAGCAGTAAATTACATTTTGAGTCCATTAACTAGTAACCATGAAAGGGACAATGATTAGGAAGGGTAAATGCTCTTTACCATTCCCATAATGTAGAACAGGAAGTAAACAGGAACTTTCTCTTTCATCCTGTGATCTTACTAGCCTGTTGTACCTCTGTACTTTCTGGTTGTACATTGTCTAAAATCATAATACAGCTCACCAGTTTTTAGTTGCTCAAGCCACACACTTTGGACAGAATTTTCTTACATATGGAATTGAATTTAATATAATAAATATTCACTGCATAAAGGGGTACAGAAATCTCTGTTTTCTCTCTGCACACTATATCTGTACTAGTGCAATTTATATATAACTGTGTCTCTTTTGACATTATTTGAAACAACTGTTTTTGATGACAGAGAAAGGTAATGGAGACAGTAATGTTCAAACTTCAATACAGAGGTTCAGACTAAATTTGGAAACTATTTAATCTGGGTATTTTAATTCAACTATTTCTACATCTTTCCCGTCCTCCCAGGTGAACTTCTTAATGGTTTCTCAAAAGTTAGAACTTTAGGACTTTATTCTTGCTTTAGTCAGTCATGTTCTTTGAGTCTATGAAATAAGAATAATGATTAAAACAATTTATTAAAATCATAAATAGGATTAGTATCTACTAATGTGGGTATGTCTACTATACAAGTCATCTATGCAAATTTCTTACAGATCAGTTTTAGAGCAGCCCACCAACTTAGGATTTTTACTTCTCACATTTTGTACGTTTCCGTAGCTTAGCCTTGTGATACAACTATGTGCTTAAACCTGACAAAGTGAAGAGATCAGCCCTACTCTCCTGTTCTGCTCAGTGTGACCTTTTTAAGGCAGTAGAGTTTGTCTATGTACATTTCAGGGAAAAGCTTGCTCTGTAAAAATAGCAGTAATACATAGTACCCAGTGGAAATAAGGTCTGTTATGAAAAAAAAAAAAAGTTAAAAGCATAGTTTCTTCAACATTCTCTTGGAATGAACAAAAGTTTGAATTAATTGTTTTACCTCTTCAGATTTTCAGCTGAATCTTCTAATTCCTCAGATTCCATGTGAAACACACTAGAAAACGAATCCTGGAATACCGAGAGGATATTTTAATATATAGGTGTATAAGGTTGTCGTAAGTTAGAATAGTAATATTCATGAAAAGCTTGTTGCAGTTATCAAAACCTATTCTGTAATAAAGACAAGTGTAAAATTATTAAACTTCATTTCACATCTACCAGCAAGTGTACAGGATTCTACCACAAAAATATCTTTTGATGCAACTTTAAGTATCATTGAAGCGTCTTGAATGTCTACTGATCACTCTGAGAAGAAATACCAGTATTTACAAGCTGTGCCAAATTTATTTGTCAGCACAGAACTGCTTTATTTTAACATTCATTCAATTCTAGACCTGCTTTGCTTGGACAGGTGAGGACATCAAAACCTTTTAAACGTATTGACTGATCTCTGTGTTGCTTTTCACGCAGCTTTTTTTAACAGTTGAGAAGCCTAAATGTAGAGAGAAATTAGATTCTGTTTGTACTAAAGATTCAAACTACAGACTGCAAACTAGGTGCTGGAGTTTGTCTAACTTGCAAGGACAGTGTGAATATGTGAATATAAAAGTCATGTACATTCCTATTCTGTATTCTTGTGTGCAGAAGTGACTCTTCTGAATCCAGTGAGAAATGGAATTGTGGCAGGTGATCACAAATGCTGTGTGTTATTTCTGTGATACAGAACCTGTAAATGCTCCCCCACTTCCAGATCTTAGTACACCCATATCTATAACAATAGTAGAGATAAAACTAGCAATGCCAGTACAAGACTGAGTCATGCAACATAATATCCTGCTCCTTGTTCTGCAGCCTGTTTTCAACAGGAAGGAAATACAGGTGGGCAGATTGGAAAAGAGTTGTGCTTTGCTTCAGTGAGCCGGGATCTTGGGACAGGCCGTGATTCTGTTTAGATATCTTGTTTAGGTATACTCAAGAAATAAAAAGTGCCATCAAAACTGATTCTGCACAGGAAGCAAAGGCTACATTGTTTTTCTCCCAGCCTTCTCCTTTTTTCCATCCTACATCAGTAGCCAAGAAAAGGAGTTAGGAAGGAGTTCAACATTCAAGATCTATGCCATAGAAAAGAGCTTAGAGCCATAGTTTCCCAAGAGGTGATGCAAAATGACTGCATAAAATGGAGGTCTGGTGTACACAAAGACCAAACCCTCTCAAGTCAACACCTAACCTGAGTAGATGCCGTAAAAGAAAAGGCAGAGGATGAAAAGGCGACACAACATACTACGGGTTTGAAATACTATTTCAGAGTCAGAATGGAGGCCCACGCTGGTGCCAGGGAATAAGCACTTCTGCCTTTAGGCAAAAAACATACTCACAGTACAATCTTCATCCACTATGAAGATGGTACACCTCTGCACTTGCATGAAGGATATTATAGTGGCAGCTATCTTCTTCAGAATTACTTCCAAAGACTGCTGCTCTTCAAAAATCAGGCTGGCAAGATCAAGAAGCACCTGGGGAAAAGGTCTTTTGTGAAATTTTGACTAATTATTTAAGCAGTAATTATCATGACTACTGTCTTTGATTCTTCTCCTCATCCTTGAATCAAGGAAGTCAACGTGTATGTCTGTGACCAATATTTAGTTTTGTCTCTCACACAGACTGCAAGGTAACAGTATATAATAACTAGTTTGACACTTTTGATGAAAGAAATAAATACCATAGTTAGCTGTCTGATGTTTTCGGTCAGAGAGACAGAACAGATCTAGGCATTAAGAGTTCATCAAATTAAACCTGAGAAAATCCAGATAACACAGTTATTTGTCCTTAGGAAACCTAGTTTCCTATGGCTCATGTGTGCATTCTAAAAACAGTGATATTTACATTTCTTAAGAGTTTTGAACACAATTATTTTCTGTGTAATTCTAACAGATCCTAATGAACTCTATTGTGAAAACATAATTTAGATACAGTCTGCTGTATTTCAAAGCTGCTGCTGAAGGACTTAGCTGCTGAGATATGCTCATATTATATTCCTTTTTTCCTCACAAGGAGCATGGAGCCAATTTGAAAAGATTATCCAAATTTGTACCAATTTACAAACACTGATCATCAATTGGAAACTCAGACCTACCAGAAAAATTTTAAAACAACAGCTGCCTAGTTGTTTCTCCAAAACCTTTTCATATCATATATGGCAGACATATTCACCCATAGAGGCCATGGCATTAATAACCCATCAGTTATAAAGATGGCTGCAAAATACAGTTACATTAGTCAGAATCAAATTCAGCTCTCCATTTGATCATTACTGAAAATATGGTTAGTGACTATATATAGTGGTAGCAGACTAAAAGAGTAATCTGCATAACCTCAACCATTCTCTAGGGATAATTCTATCCAAAATTTCTGGAGTATGTACACCTCTGGTTGTATAATATGTACAGTGAGCCACAGGATAACTTCAGGCAATATCTCATACATTGACATGGGATGAATTTTCTGACATGTAGCTTTACCTTCTTTCCCCCGACAGTCCACTTCTTGTAGCCCAAGCTGGAATGTGCACAGCTACTTCTGAGTGCAGTTAGTTAGAGCTTTGTCAGAGATACACCACATTCAATTAGATTAATTAAAAATAGCCAAAGAATAACTACCATATGAGAAATATCAGGAGGACTGATAACTAGCTAACCATCATAATTTCGGTACTCTTGGGACAAACCTGTTGACCATACCTGATTACGTCTGTTCTCAAGCAAAGATGTCTCATACAATTGAGCGTTGTGAAGAACAATTCCACAAAATGCCAAATAGGCGGCAAAATCCTAAAGACAAATGAACATCAACACCTCATGAAGATAATGTCTCACAGCATCTTAACTGTATTCATAACTCTATTCAAAGATAAGCTACTGCAACTGTTGTTTTCACTTTGAAGTATTAAATGATATTTTAAAGTTATTTTTGCAACCACACATTCAGGGTTGGTTGTTTTTTTTCAGTTACTCATAATTGGTTGTTTGCTCAAGCATCTCTTCTCCCTTTTTTAAACTAATGATCTTCACAGTTTATCCTGGTAAAAGTAGGACTGATATAAGAAGGAGCTGAGAGGAATCAACTCATTTTGCAGCAATGCATATGCTATCTAGAAAAACTGAGTGCAGACAATCAGCCTCTGTGATTTTGGGGGATTTCAATCTCTTCAAAAGCAGAAATAAAATTCCGCTAACATAGCTAACTCCCCTTTCAGAATGGGATTAATTCTGATATCCTGCAGCTACTCAGTATGCATTTTGTTTTAAACAGGAAGTTTTCAAAGGGAAAGGGTGAATTACAATTTTTTTATTGCTGAGGGTTAAGTCAACGTCTTCAGCCTGAGCACAGTCTGTTTTTTGCTGTACCAATCTGAACGTGAAGTTTGGAAATGTTTGGAAAGCAACTGCAGTGTGAGAATTAGGAATCACGGTGTTGTCTGCTCTCCTGACTCTCTCATATATTGTTCAGAATTAATCCAAAGCTTTTTCTCATCCTGCAATTGCTATATTGAGAAGTGATACAGTATTTAAAAAATAATCACTACACAAATTTGAATATTCAAAATATGTTTGTTGGGGATGCCAGGAGAGTTAGAACCAATTAACAAAAAATTATGTCTGAAAACTTATGAAACTGTTTTACAATGCATTTGTAAAGCCTGTGTTTCAGAGGTATAAGAGATACCATGCTGATCCAGAAGTTAAACTATTTCACATCCACATTTCTCATGGCCTCATGAAGTCAGAAATTTGCAGTATTACCAGGAATTTTTACTTTTTCAGAGGTGCTTAATTTTTAATAACTTTAAAATTTCCGATCAGCATGAAAAGTAGTAACATATTTCTTCCCCCATTCCCTCATGAAAATAGAAGAGACATAAATGTCCAGCTTTTATACCTTTTCATCTTGTTCAGTGAAAGTGCCACCAATTCCAGATTTCTTATTGATTGCTTGAGCCACACCAACAACCTAGTGTATTCAAAATGGAGTAATTAGATAATTTTTAGAGTCTGTCATTGGATTCTATTTCTAGACATATTTATAGAAGATATTAAATGATCATTACAGGTATTCATTTGGTTGACCTTCAGATAACAGAAGATATTTAAGCCTGTTTTTTCCTAATTTATTCATATTACAAATGACTGAGCATGAACCTGGAATATCCAAAACAATAAGTGGCACGAGTCCTGGATGCTCTTATGAAGAGGGGTTGATTTGATCCAAAATTGATTCTATAAATTGGAACAATCATTTCCCAGAAAGACAACAACAGTTTACGCTTCTGCAGTCATAAGTCAGACCACACAACAGCTCTCACTCTCTAAAGTTCATCGTCTTGTGTGTGTAGAAAATACCCTTCCTGCTAGCTCTGACAAAATTTCCAGAACATAGCCTCCTTACCAGATCTAGAGTTTGGCTACAGTGACCTTTTTGTATTTTGTGTCTCTCTGAATCTGACCAGATTAATTTTCATCTGCTGAAACTTAGTACACAAAGGTTGTGTGCCTGCCAGACAAAAGTTTGTTACTCAAACTTAGTACGTTTTCAAAGGTACGCTTTTACTAAGACCACATTAAACCAACACTAAGAATAAATATTTTATTATGCTTCAGTTGATAGTTAGACTGTCCTGCTTGCCAAGATGTGCTGGTATCTCGCTGTTTTAATTTTTTAATTTTTTTTTTCCCTATGGAGCAACTCGGAAGGTAGGGAAGAATCCTGGTTTACAGGTGAAGAAACTAAGCAAAGGGTAAAAAGTCATTCACAGGTCCTGCAGGACATCCGCAATGGACCCACAAAGCAAACCTGTATGCCCTGATCCACATTAAAGGCTTTCCATTAAGTAGTTCTTTCTGCTCTTGACACATGGCTTAAGTCCTAGCTTTCAGATGGACTATGTATTAAGATCACCAGCCAAGAGGCTTCATAAAGTAAGACTGCCCACATAAGTAAATCAGTGCACAGGTAGTAACAAGGAAGATTTACCTGAACTAGGAAAAAACTGCTATGATTTATGAAATAAAAGACATCAACAGAGCAGCTCCATTTACTTCCTTTGTTGGCTTGTTTCCTTTTGGATTTAAGTGGAAGAAAACTGAATCCGTGTAACAATAAACCAAAACAGATTGAACATTTAGTTTTATTCATATAAAGTTCTGTCTAAATTATGTTAAATTTCAGATGATGCTTTTTTAGTATAGAAATAATCTGTGGTAAAATTTTATTTCAAATTTCTGGACATAATTCCATGAATTGGGAGATTAAAACATTATTTCTTATGAAACAGAAAACAGTCCCTTTAAGGACAGTCAGTGAAAGTCCAAGCTACTGATGCTTTTGTAACTTTCTACGTAGAGGACAGTTAGCCAGTAAACATGATCTCTCGGTACAGGATGTTGGTTTAGATTTAAAGAAAATGTAAAATGAACATGAGAGAACAACACAGCTGTTCAAGCATGGTGCTTTTGTTACTGCCAGCCTTTGTGGAGTTCAGTTCTGCATGCTGGTGACAGCCTCCCAGGAAACCAGTCTGCCCCTGCAAACAGCAGAACTCCTGATAAAAATGAAAGTGGAATTCAGATCTTTGCTTACTACTGATTCCAGTTTCTAACGCAGGTTCTAACTCCGACATTTGGGGAGAAATGAAATTGGACTTACTCTTACATACTCAACACGGATGTCTTCTCTGGTAACTTGGATCTGTTTTTCAGAGCCCAAGGTAAACAAGAGAATTTAAAGAGACCTTCATACAAGTTAGTATGAAGAGAAAGCGAGTGTTTCTTTAAAAAATTAATTCACTGGGACAGTGTTTCTGTAGATTTCCCACTGCAGTTATTCAGGCTGTGTACTGGCAGTGACCATTCTGTCCTGTAGACTAGTTTAAACTTCTTCTGGATTCTGTGCTTATCCTTGTACTTCTGTGCTTCTACTCTTCTGAGTCATAAATTAACCACGTAATTTCACAGGACACTAAATTTGGAAGGCTTTCAGAAGGAGAGACAGGTTAATTTCAGTTGAGATACTTCTCACTTTCACTGTCAATATGGTGAAAATGAGACATTTTCTAACTCAAATATTTTGTCATTCCATTAAAAAAGGTTATTTATTTTTATTATTATACTATACATTACTAAAGCATACTCTTGTTTTCTATTAAATTGTTATTACAATAAATATTTCTCTTTGATGCATAAACACTTCCTAGATCATAGGACTTAAAGGCCTTAGCCTTTCCCTAATATAATTCAGTATGTTTCCACTCCTTTTGAGACTTTGCAAATTAGTAACTAATCTGACTTTAGGCTTAAAAGAATTGGAGAAAGTATAATAGTTTCTTCGATTTGTGAAGTAAAAAACCAAAAGAGTTCTGGCTGTTAATGAGTAATGACAGGTTTCTATAATTGATATCAAGAGGAGGACCTATAAGGTGGTGAACCCAATGCCATTTATCAGGATGGATGAGAAAGGTAGATGACCTGAGGAAGGTGCCAAGTGGAGGGTGGGGACAATTATGTCTGAGCCATTACTTATATTGGTACCCAGAAATGAAGCCCATAGTTTATGGTATCAAGCTGAATAACCACTAGCAACACCTGGAATGGATTTAGATTAAGGCAGAACTGAAAGAGGAGTAGCACCAGAGCAAGAGGTAGGAAAGGGAGGCTGGAAACTGGGAAGAGCTGGCAGTTACTCACTAAAACCCTGCACTTCCTTACAGTCAGACTGTTGATCTATATAAATGGCTGGGTCTCATCTTCCGCTAAACTCAGTAAATCTGCTGTGCAGTAAACTCGGAGGCTAGAATATGCTAGCTCAGGTGAAGCCTGCCTAGCTAAGTACAGTAACATGAAAGAGTATGTGGTAAAAAGCCATAAAGTATATGCAAAGATTTTGATTCTTTTCAGATTTTTTGGCACACTTACAACAAATGATTGACAAAGCTGTGAAGAACTTCCTTTGTTTGAGATTCAAGTAGTGTTAAGACTAGTGCAAGGTGTTAATGACAGTACTTTTTTCATCTTGCTTTTTTGGGATAAACAATATCAGAAGAAAACTTGTAGTGTGCATGTTTAAAAAGTTGTACTTAACTACTAATCATTAAATTTATAATTGCTAAACTGATGGAAGGCATACGGTTTTATTTTTGTAATGGAAAATGAGGCAATTTACTATCTCTTGGCCCTGCCTTCCCAAAATACCGTTACAAATAAGGTCATTGTTCTGCAGCATGAATCACTGCCAACTGTGGGCTCAGAAAAGTCTGTCTGACATGAAGCTTAACTGTCAGCTCCATTCCATACAACCCAGTTTTTCACATAGTCAACCTCTCATTTACTTCAGTGAGGAATATTTCTTCTCCAGTGAACTTTCTTACTGTAATAACAATGTACAACTAGCCTTATGTACTTCTATAGCGGATTCTGAATAGCAAGCAAATCCTTTAACCAGTCGACATGCTTTTATGTTAACCTACATGTGCAGAGATTAATGGTTAGGCTTTTCTCATACCAGTCTCTTCTGTGGGTATTCATTTAATTTTTTTTTTTTTTTCAGTTTTGATGCAGCATGAGCTAAGACAACTTTAATGAGGTCAGTGGCTTTTTAAGGCATCAAAAAGGTGAGTACTTTCATTTTGTGTAAAAATATCCCCTCCCTGAAAGGAAAGTCTGTGGTGCTTAAAAAAGCTGCAACAAAACAGTAAAAGGACCATATTAATATAGGAAAAAGACTATTTAGGCTCCCTTTAATAGCACTGCAGGTTTTGCATACATTAAAAAAGGCATGTGTTCTAAGAGAAATGGTCATTTTCAGATCTTTGTTAAGGTCTTTCAATAAAAGGTTTTAACTGAAGAGGGAGGAAATAATTAGGAGAATAAACCTGTTAAAAATTTATGGTTGATGATAAAAGATGCAGATGTAAAACTTTTTGTTGTTTCAGTGCCATTCTAAGCTTTTACAGACAACTTTGTTGTATGTGCCATTTTTTTGTCAAAAAAAAAAGTTTTAGATATTAAACTGGTCCAAATTCTGGCCTCACTGATATCGCTACACATTCCAGTGAACTTTGCTAAATTCTGTAGAATGTGGTGTAGAGACAGTAATGAGAGAAACCTCAGTTGGATATTATTTAACCATTGGAGTCTTGCCTGCAACCAGGTAATTAGGAGAAGATGTAGGAAACTCAAGAGGATCTGTTCCTGTTACTAAAGTAACTATGTAACTAGGACAAAAGTAAATCATGTGGTAGCGTTTTAGGCCATGGAGAACATATGCCTGTATTTTTGAGAATACTAAACACAGTACGAAACCCAATTCCTCATTTTTAAAACTTACTACAAACAAACCTGAAATAACAGTAGGCCTGATCTGTGATCTCCAGCTGGGAGTTATGTTTGCACTAGCAGAAAAATTGAATCAAAGGTGACTTACCTGCTCTGAGCTCAGTTATACAGAAAACTTATTCAGATAACAGGTACATTAAAATTGTGAAATTTTTGTGGCAATAAACACGACATACCTGAGATAAAGCTAATTCTCTGTAAAGCCTGAAGTATATGCATATCCTAAAAAAATGACAGTCCACTCAAACACTTGCTCATGAAAGCACTGTTCCAGTCTAACAAAAAGGTGTTTTTTAAGTTACTTAGGCACAATATTTTATGTGTGTTTAATACTCTGGCAGGCAGGCACCAAGTGAACTTTTTTGAAAGTTGAGTCCTGTAGCAATAAAGCAAAAATATGTATGTTTGATTTCTTGTCATTCTCCTACTATGCCTACAGAATTATCCTGTATATTTCTTGGTCACCCAAGACAAAACTAGCAGGAAAGGAAGGGGTTAAAAACAGCTACGAAAGGGGATGACCACTAGAAAAACTTAAGGTAGTACTCTGGACTGAAGAAAGCCAAGACTAAGGGAAAGACTGAATTAACTAGTATCTGCTTATACTTTGATACCTGTGAGCTT